TCTTAATAATTACAAACAGCAGGATAAAACTGCCAGAGAATTCTAGAATGATCATGTCAACCTTTAGTAGAGACTATTCAAACATAAGTAGTGAAGAAAGAATGCTAAACAAATGGATCAAAGACTGAATACTTTTCCCAATGGGTTTATTTCCATATTGGTTCACTTTTGTAATAGATTCCCCATTTTAGGTAAGATCTGTTGAGAGTAATTAAGCTAAACAGAAGTTATAAGTAAAATGATCACTAAAGCAACTCATATTTTAATTAAAAAATAATACAGGAATTAATAATATATAGTATTTACTTAACTTTTGTCCAACTTCTCTTTATGTGAACTTTGTTTTTATAGAAAGCCATTCAGTATGTTTGGGAAGTTGGTTTAAAATAATTCTAACTGTAAGAAAATGTTACATAAAGTATCTGAAGCTCCAAAAGGAAAAAAATAAGCAGAGTCAATTCTATTAAATATTCTTCTTCAAAATGATTATTATAGTCATAACAGTTCCTTCTTCCAGATTTTTGTAAACTACTATAATCTGGCCCTGAGTTGTCCACTTATCCCTATTATCTCTTCTGCTAAAGTTTGGGGATTGACTTGTCTTTTATAAGAAGCCCCTTTCCCTATATTTGATACTTACTTTCATAGCCAAGAATCAAAATATTCCACTTGTATCTATCTTATGTTCTGTTATTCATACCTGTCCATAACCTTTTCCCAAAGACTAGGCAGTAATTTGATAAGTCACTGTGATGGGAAGAAATTAAAAATTAAAAAAAGAAGAGGACAACTATATTATTTATTTATGCACTCATTTAGCAAATTATATCTTTGTGTTTAGGACTGTTACTAGACAAACAAATAATAATAAATATGTACCTTACTTTCAAAGCACTTGTAGTCTGGTAAAGGAGATAAGATTTAGACACAAATAACTATGACAGATTTGGAAAACAAAGTACCATAAGACTAAGAAATATGAGCATCCAGAAGAGAAATAAATTGTATCTCTATATTATTAATCTCACAATGGACATGATTAAAGATTCTTGGGATTTGAGAGTAAAGAAAATTCACTTCCTCACTATCACCTCCAGCTCCAGAGACATTTCAACTACCTACTAGACAATTTCAATTTACCACTGGATTTCTCTATTTGAACATCCTATTTGGATTTCAAACTCACTATATCTCATATCAAATATATCATTTTTTTTCTTTCTAAAGCATCTATCTTTCCCTATGTCTAATCCCAAGTCATTTCCTATTTATATTATTAAAATGACTCTCTCTGTACATCTCAGTTACTTTCTCCCTCATTGCCAGTCAATAACATATCAAATCAGAGTTTCTACTTCCTTAAAACTTTTCCTGAGACCTGTCTTTTCATTTTATTGACAGACTCTTAGACTTGTAATAACATTTGAACTATTTTCTTGAACTTTTACCTTTCCCAACTGCAATACTCAACCTGTATCCTGCTCACAGATTAATCTTTTCAATTTATAGCCCCATCATGTAATTCTCATACTCAAACACATTTAGAGGCTCTAAACTAATAAACTATATGAGTCAATATTTCATCCTGGTATTCAACATATGCTGAGGCTGTATTTCTAAGCTCATTTCCCAACATGTATCTATGTCCAACCTGTGATTGCCTTACATTGCTAGTCTAGACTCTACTGATGTTTAATATTCCTATACAGGAAGTTACATTCATTTGGAAGCTCCTCATTTTTCAAGCTTCATAGTTCATGAAAATTTCCACTTTTATATGAAGACATTTCTGATGTCCCTACACCCAAAACTAAGCTGGTTGTGAATTCTCCGTATCACTCTGGATTTACCACTCAAGACCTGCAGTGTAATCAAAGTTAATAATTGTTTGTATCCTCCTCCCTCTCCCACCTCCACTTCTAAGGCAAGGACTGATTGATCTCTATAAACCTTCAACATTTAGTATAGTATGCCATTCAGTGTGTATGATCTATTTCTTTTTCATAAATTGAATATTAAATCACTAACAAATGAATTTCTCCAAGCAATTAAATTCTTCTTCAGATGCTAATAAAGTGATGTTTGTTCCTGCCTGCAAATGCCTAAAACATTTTAATATTTCCTAAATTAGTGTAAAGTTCAAAAAGCAAATGGCACTTGAAGAGGCAAATGCTTCTAGGGCCTCCCTTTTCTTGGAATCCCTCTTCATTTAACTTTTCTCAGATCCAATAGTCAAAAGCTCATTGATCTAGACTTAAAAGCCAAAGGGGCTTAAAGCCACTGTAGGGGTCTGTCAGAAATATATTCAGAAATATAATTTAGAAAACATCAGGAAAGAACGACAGTTCCTTTTCAGGAACCTCCCATACATAGCTCACAAAATAGCTTTCCAAATCGGAAATTGTAAAATATTAGACCACCAACCAAATAATAGAAAGTAACTCACTGCCATGTAGAAAGATTCCTTTCATTTTCACAAGGAGAACAAAAGACTATATTGTGTTTATTTAAATCTCAGGCTGATAAAAGCCGCAGAAAGAAAAAGAAAGCAATCAATTTCTCTAAAAGATCATTATTTAGAAATAAATTGCTATGCAGAAAAGCATGGATCTTCTTGACTACTTGTGAATTTAAGACACGAAATACTTCCCTCCTCACCTTCAACAATCAACTCTGCTAATGAAATATGTTAATCATTCTAAGTTTGGGTATAGAGCTTTGAAATCAATGTGTTTCCGGTTGCAGGGGTTGTGGGCAGGAGGGGCGGGGGAGAAGAAACCTACTAAATCAGCTTAGGAAATGCTTCATTTCCTGCCCCATATCTGGGAAGGAAAACATAAAACAGGCAGAACCAGGTGCAACAAAATCATACACGTGGCTGGGAAAATCTCTCCAACTCCTAGGCACCGCCCAGGTGGACAAATTATGCTCCCAAACTAGAGCTTTCTTTTCTAAGATAAATGTAGTGGTTTTTATAAACACTCGACAAAAGTTAACCGATTGGCTTGTTGACAGAGGTTGAAGAAGATAGTCATTATGTAACTGTTGTTTGGGCTCCAAAGGGAAATTATCTGACTTGGGTAAATAGTTCATTAGAAAGAAGACACTGTTAACAGAGAGATTAGGCTCATTACCGGAGAGCTAACGGAGGTTGATTGGTACTTTCCCAAAAATGACCAGTTAGAAAAATCTGCCAGGTCATTTCTGCGTTGTCCTTTACCTTTCCATCTTCCTAATGCCTGGATTTCGCAGGCTGCTTCTATTGATCCTATTCCACTTTGCTTTCAGAAAGACAGGTAATTCATTCAGCGTTTAATGGTGCCAGGAAAGTAATGTCCTCACTGGTGCTCATAGACCTAAAATGGTCAGCAGCCCAGCCCAGCCTTTCAGAAAGTGTACTGACCTGACACCTGTGAGTGAGCAGTGATTTTCATGGCATCGGGATTCCTATTAATCCCTCCTGTGCATACTGAAGTGTTACTTCTAAGGGAGTATGAGTGCATTGATTTCTGTGAGACCTCATAAATATTCTTTACTTTAAGAAATCAGATTCTTAGCAAGTCTTCCAAATCAATTTTATGGCCTTGATAGTCATGGAAACTTAACCCTGAAAACTTCAAGATTCATTGCAAGCCATCATGTGATTTACAAATATAGTTGAGAAAGTAATGATACAAGTTTTTTAAGACAGAGTGTGCTTATTTCTTTCTACATTATCACTGGATATTCAAATTTTATAGGAAGCAAACTTTTTAAAAATATATTTTATTGATTTTTAAGAGAGGAAAGGAGAGGGATAGAGTGTTAGAAACATCAATGAGAGAGAAACATTAATCAGCTGCCTCCTGCACATCCCCTGCTGGGGATGTGCCCAAAACCAAGGTACATGCTCTGAGGGGAATTGATCCTAGGACCCTTCAGTCCACAGGCCAACGCTCTATCCACTGAGCCAAACCAGGTAGGGCGGAAGCAAACTTTTTAAAAGAGCACTAGCAAAATTAAATTAGAACTGAGGTGTCCCCCCACCACCACCCAGGACTCCTCAGAATCAATCTTTCCCACCTGTGTTATTCTGTGACAGTTTGTACTTTGGTTTTGCCATATATTAAGTCTGTCTTGTATTAGACTTACATGCTTACTTATCTCAATAGCACATTCACCACTGTGGGCAAGAAGAAGGTCTTACTCACTTTTTATTCCTTGCCCTGCTGAGAACATGGTAGGACCCTAATAAATATTGATTAAATTTAATTGCTTTCTGTGAATCCCTCTGAAAGGGTTACAAGTAAAATGAAATAATTTGTTTGCAACTGGTCATTAATATACTTAGAGCTTATGTAGGTACATAGATAACCTTTATCTGAGTTTCAAAACCTATAGTCAATGGGTAAGATTTTTATGAATAATCCCATAAAATGTTATGAGGAATGCTGTGTGTAGGTATGTGCATATTTCTGGAGCAAATATCTATAAACTTTAATCAAACAAATCTCCTCTTTACTGACCACATATTCTCAAGATATTATAGTTCATTTTCCTATTCAGCTTTACTCAACTTCTCAATTTATTAAAGCCTAACATAGTAGGGGCAAATATAGGCAGCATCTTCCATGCGACATTTCCAATTATAGCCTTTCACACATCAATGAGAAGCTTGTGTTTCCTAGACCCATGTCTGAAAAGAGACCATTTTAAACCAGCATTTACTCCCCAGACGTTTATTCTCTAAAAAGGTCTTTCTATAGTCCCAAAACCTTTATGATGCCATCAACGACACTTCAAGGCCCCTGAAGGAGTAAGCATTTCCCTTCAGTGAACTCAATCATCCTCTCTGTAGAGCCTTCTCTATGCACTCCCAGTCAACTGCCACACATGCCACTCAGGAAAATGAATCGCTGCCTCTAAGTTTCAGGGGGAGCTCCCTGATGGTAAACTGAGGCTAACAGCCCCTACGAGGGACATCTGACACACACCACCAGAGGAGTAAGAGAAAATGGTACCTTGGTTGTCTTCACTGCTGCCAACGCTGGTCAGAAAGCAAAGGACGGCCACTTGAAGCAGTTTCATGGTGCCTGTGGACTGTCGCAGTGGCTCCTCGCTCCAGTGTCAGACAGGGACAACTCCCTTCCAGCCTGGCAGGACCTGATTAGCAAATGGAAAAGGTGTGCTGACTGCAAACAGCCACTGCCCATTCCTACTTATTTCAGGGGCTCTGATAAAGAACTGGAGGAAACACACACACTCCCTCTGGGAGTTCAGCAGAGAGGAGATTTATTGTTTCAGTCCCTTACAGGAACTTTTTTTTTTTCTCTCTCTTCCTTTGGCAGCCACTTGTGTTTTTGTTACTACATTATTTTGTTCTTCTTCAACAAAAAGGTCAGGGCGGGTTTTGAACAGAAACAGATCTTTCTTGAGAATGGATCATACAGCTTTCTAACTTTTGTTTTGAAAGTGCGTTTTGGGGTGGATATAAAGGGACCTCATTGAAGAGTGACTCAGTTTGGATAAAGAGGCTTTAACTTCGGAGAGTTAAATTTTAGAGCAAAATCCACAAGGAATCAGCTTTTCTCCTTTCTTTTCAAATGGAAAGCCAGATTAGCAAAGACCGCCTCCCAAAGATAAGTGCAAAACCTTATTAAATAGGAGCATACTCTGTTCTAAGAGCAGAGCTTCTTAGGCACGCCCAGGGAAGTGGCTCAGGATAGTCCTACTAGAACCGAGCAAAGACATATAAATGTGCACTGACCATTCCTGAGTTTTATTGGTGGACATTGATGAAGAGGGAAGAAAAATTACTTATAATAACCCGGATTCTCTTCTCCATGAAATACAATTGGAATGCCACTGATTGGGATGCTCTAGCAGCAAATCAGTGAGTTTGGGAAGGAGGAATTCTTCAAATCAGAATGCCACGCAAGCTAGATAATATGTACACCTGGGATCTGTTTGATATTAGTAGCGATTGATTAAAACAAAGTGAGTACACAGCCCCAACACTGGCTTCAATCTCTGTAGGCTGTGCTGATTGCCCTTTGATACACCTTTAGGCATAAACCTGCTAAACAAGACTAATGGTGCATCAGTATATATTCATTGGCTCCACACACACACACACACACACACACACACATACACACACACACACACACACACACAAAGCGCTATTCCAAAATTATACTTTTACCTGTTTTTAAGGAAGACACACATTTCTCTGCTTCACAGGGCCAGGAAGCCCTCATTCTAAGAGGGGTTAGAGCAAGTCAACTAGTCAAAATACCCCAGAACATTAGTTTCATCCCAAGTTATGTCAAGTCCCAAAAGGGCCTCCAACTTCTAGTGTATATAATCAATACTTAATTTTACAATTTTTTTCTAATTAATTTTCTAAAACAAACTACTTTTGGAGCTGTTGCTTTATTTGGCTTATCCTGGAGAGTCTAAAGATAGCAATAATGTGAATAGATGTCACATGCACATTCCAGAAATACGTTGGGGTGTGGCCATGAATTCACAGTGGAGTACTCACATTGCCTCACTTCCTGCTCCTTGCTCTGCTTTATCTCTGATGTTTTCAGCACACAGAGTCACCACTGATGTTGGCCACAGTCATTGTTATGGATTCAATAGCATTTTGAGTTTTCAGCCCTGACTGTTAGGCATTTCATGAAAAAGACTAGATACCTATTCCTAGAATACTTGATAAAAATATTATGTCTATCTCTGGCCAGTGTAACTCAGTGGATAGAGATTCAGGCCAGGTGTCAAAGGGTTAAGGTTCAGTTCCTGGTCAAGAGTATGTACCTGGGTTGCAGGTTCGATCCCCCACCCAGTGAGAGCATGTGTGGGGGACAACCAATCAATGTGTCTCTCTCACATCGATGTTTCTCCCTCCCTGCCTTCCCAACACCACATTGTATAGGGTGTTCTAAAAAATGTATACCTACACTTTGAATAATTATAAAGGCGGTGTTTATTAAAATACATTTTATTTTCAAAATTGAGCTATCAGCTGTTAAAGTGTGTGTACATTTTGGGGGGACACTCTATATGTTTTTGCCTCCTTTGTCAAATATTAGTTAACCATATAGGTGTGGGTTTATTTCTGGGCTCTCTATTCTGTCCCATTGATCTATATGTCTGTTTTTATGCCGGTACTATGTTGTTTTGATTATTATGGCCTTGTTTTGATTATTTGATTATTAATAGTTTGATATTTGGGTAGCATGATATCCCCAATTTTGGTTTTCTTTTGTAAGATTGCTGAGTCTATTCAGGGTCTTTTGTGGTTCCATATAGTTTTGAATTATGTGTTCTAGTTCTGTGAAATATGCCACTGATATTTTGATAGGAATTTCATTGAATCTATAGATTGTTTTACGTAGTATGGACATTTTAATAATGTTAATTTTTCTTATCATTGAGCACAGTTTACATTTCTAATTATTTGAAACTTCTTCAATTTCTTTCTTCAGTGTCATAATTTTCCAAGTACAGGTCTTTTATCTCCTATGTCACTAATCATCAGAGGTATGAATTAAAAACACAATGATATATTACCTAATACCTGTCAGAATGGCTATTCAATAAATCAACTTACAGCTAGTATTGGTGAGGATTTATAGAAAAGGGAACCCTAGTACACTGTTGGTGGAAATGCAGATCTGTGCAGCCACTATGGAAAACAGTGTGGAGGTTCCTCAAAAAATTAAAAAAGTAGAACTGTCTTATAACCCAGCAATTCTACTTCTGAGTATTTATCAGAAGAAAACCAAAACACTAATTTGAAAGAATACATACACCTCTCTGTTCATTACAATAGCCAAGATATGTAAGTAATTCAAGTGCTCATCAATAACTGATTGGATAAAAAAGTGGTAGCATATATAATGGACTATTACTTGGACATAAGAAAGAATGAAAATTTACCATTTGTGACAGCTTGCATGGACCTAAAGGGTATTATACTAGGTGAACTAAGTTAGTCACAGAAAGACAAATACCATATGATTTCACTTATATGTGGAACCTAAAGAACAAAATAAATAAATTTTAAAAGTTGGAACAGAATAATAGATACAGAGAACAGACTGATAGTAGCTAGTGGAGAGCAAAATTGGGAACTGGGTGAAAATGTAAAGAGATAAAGATATGAAAATTGGTTGTTTACAAAATAGTAACAGGGATGTAAAGTAAAGCATAGGGAATGTAGTCAACAATATTATAATAACTATGTATGGTGCCTGGTGGGTACTTGAAAGATCAGGGGGAACACTTTGAAAAGTATATGATTGTCTAACCATTATGCTGTACACCTGAAACTAATACAAAATAATAATGAACATAAACTGTAATAATAATAATAAAAAGACTTCTCTCACTTCTCACCAACTTTCTAACCTGGTAGGAAATAATCCCTTAAGACTCTTGATACTTGAAGGCATGAAAATGGAGATGGGGGATCATAAAGCACAGTCTCACTGAGATGAGATATACAGGAAGTTCTTTAATACAGATTCTTACTGATGTTATTATCATTTGTCAGAAATCCCACTGTCAAATGATGAGTGAAACTGCATGTCAACAGTTGAAATGCCTGGATCTCATTACTCTGTGAGGCAGTCCATTCTTTTGCTGGACCATTCTCCTTGTTACAAAATTCAAAAATTTTTCTTTATCCTTATCTGCCTTAAGAAGCTCTGCAAGTCACAGAATAAATTTCTTTATGTACAAAACTAAACTTAAGTGTATTTATTCCACTAATCATGTAAGTCATATGAATAAGTAAATTAGATTTTTTCCAAGACTTTTTAGGGAATAAGATAGCTTATAATGTATTCAATTATATCAAATAAAGCACAGATATGGTAACCTCCTTGGAAATCTGGAATATGTAAATAAACTAAAAAATAAACAGACAAGTATAAAGTTATTCAATAGTTTTCTCAATTTTCCATTTAGCTCAGCTGTTGCCAAATACACCATGTCCAAGATTTCTGTTCTGATGTTTCACTTTTAGTGTGCTAGAAATATCATAGTATCTTAGGGTAATACTCTTTTCTTTTGTCAAATGGTACCTATTAAAAGTTACTGACTGTGTAGTATATGCCAGGGATATTTTTTTATAGATATGTTCATAAAAAACTGTGACACATAAGTGTGTACCCTGAAAAGGAAAATGCCTACAAGAGGGCTCCCAGTGGCCAATTTGCTTCAAATTTAAAAATAACAGAGCCTAGCAGCCATTTCTACATGGTGAGGGGGAAGGAGGGGAAAGGTTCTCATGAAAACTGCATTTCAAGGAGAAGCCTGCACTAAACTACCTGTCTCTGCATTGAACCATCAGACTGCATTGTGTTTCTGCCACCTGAGCCAGCCCTTATAAAGGAGTTCCTGAAATCCTATCTCAACCAATAGGACTAAGGCTTTCTTCACCCTATCAGATCTGTGCAGCTAAATCCCCTCAGTTTCTTCACTAACTAGTCAGAGAAGCTCCATTCTGACCAATCAGAAAAGTGCCCTTTAGGCCAGTGTTTTTCAACCTTTTTTGGGCAAAGGCACACTTGTTTCATGAAAAAAATCACGAGGCACACCACCATTAGAAAATGTTAAAAAATTTAACTCTGTGCCTATATTGACTATATATAAAGTAATTCTCTTGAATAGGAATCAAATAAACACAAAGAAAGTATTTTATAATTACTTTATTATGAAATATTAAGTAAACAAAATAGTGAAAAATTATAAAATTCTTGTCTTGTCTGCACCTACGGCACACCAGGCAACACTAGTGTGCCGCGGAACAGCGGTTGAAAAACGCTGCTTTAGGCCAAACAAACTGTGAGGATTTAGAGTCCTCATTTACATGAGGACTAACTAATCAGGGACCAGGATTGAGGACTTCTGTCTATATTGGTCAGCACCCTTCTAGATCTGAGAGCAACTTTTTCTTTCCAGTGAAGGCTGGAGTCTGTGTTTTCTCTGCTGGAGCTGAAACACTGAAGATGGGACACAGAAATCTCACTGGAATAGAGCAGAGCAGACCAGGGAGGAGCAGAGCAGGCGGTGATGGTGGTGGTGGGGGCGTGGGGTAGGCAGAGCAGATCTTGGAGAGGCAGAGAAGACCAGGGAGGAACAGAGCAGACCACAGAGCACAGAGGAGCAGAGCAGAGCTATCTAGCCAGAGAGGGGCCTGGCCCCAGGGGCGCCTCCTTGCCTTGGGGCCTCCCAACAGCAGGGCTGTTTTCACAGCTGTGCTGT